TGTTCGTTCGTCCTGATTGCGGTTTCCATCCGTTCTCAGGTCACGGTGTGACCTTTTTTGTTGCCTCATTTGATTCTTCAACTGCATTGGCGTGTACACGTGATCCAGTTCGATATACCTGTTTATTGAGTTAATTGAGGAGTGCCAAGTCTCGAGGAATTCTCTGGCGTGTTTTGACCCGACTTGGTCAATAATTTTCACTGATTCGAAGTCAAACTGATGTCCTTTTTGGTGTTCTTGTTGACAGTTTTCACAAACACTGATGATGTCACCTCGGTTGGTGAAGGAACGTTTGCAAACAAATGGCAAAACTCGGTGAACAGGCGTAGTGGAACACCGATGATGTTGTCTAGCTTGGTAACAACGAAATGTCTGCGAACAACACTTCCACGTTGGGAGAACACACGAACGTCAACTTCCACATTTAAGCTCACATTATTCCACGTTACATCGATTGTGTCCCGTTTAAGTAGGTGGATAAGCACCCAGGGAATTAGTCAGTATGTTTATTGCAATAGACACAATTAGCCGGTCCGCAGGCCAGTTAGCAAGTAGGATCGCGCAAGACATGGGCAAACAGGGCGACCTGTGACACAAGCGTCACAAGACATCCAAGCTGGACAGATATGCAGTCAACGAATCGATCAGTCATACAATCCAAAGATATGCATGCATGACAAATGTATTAGTCAATCGTAAGTCACAACACTATCCAACACTATAATTGTGTACACACACTTCTTCAAGAATTCTAACCTAATGAAAAGTTTCGTAAAGAGCACCATTCCTATCGTTTGACTGTCCTGTCCTTCGCTGTCTCCAACCATCCAGTTAAGCAGTAATTTGGACCCCAGCCTGTTGACGGTGGTATCAGTATTGAACTCTATGCTGTGCTAGGGTGGTAGTTTTCTTGCCACATCATCTAGGATTGTTTATACACAGTGCTTTTCAACTGCAGGAACCAGAAAGACAGACTATGACTAAAAGCCTCATTTTTCCACGAAAATGATGCATTAGGTATAAAACATCTTGTAAACAAATCTTTAAGCGGTAGATATGGTCTGATCGCCACGAAATTTCTTTCAGTCCTACCAAACACGTGCAAAGAGAGCACGATAAGGTAGACAATAGGCAAGCATATGCGAAACGTGATTAAACCATCGGACGCGGTGTAGAGCGATTAATTCTTTTGGAGAACGATAATCTGCACCCAAAACACAACGACGAACCTCATCATTGCTCATCCGATATTCTCACCGGACACGAGANTACAGGAAGTCGATTAGCATTCTTCCCTCCGAGGCCAGGTTTCGAAACGGAAAAGTAGAATACTACACACCGCAGTGATTTACACCCGTCTCCTAAGGAACAGTCGGATGTTATGGCGATGCTAAAAGTGTCGTAGGTTGGCGAAAGCTACTCTAGCTTTCGCGATGTGCTCACTTTTCCAACCCCACCTCCAGCTGTGACTAAGCTCCCGAGGTACTTAGAGCTCTCAAACTCCCAGCTGATCACCACAGAGAGTGATTGCAAGCACAGGGTCCTGCTAGTCTTGAACAAGCACTATGCGCTTGGAAGGTGAATAGCACATACCATACTTGGATACCTCTATCGCCAAGCGGTTCAAAGCGTCTTGGATTGCCTGTATGTTGTCACCCAGCAAGGCGATGTGATTGACATATTCTAAGAGAAGGACACTGTTCCCTGGTAGGAGTTTGACTCCACCGTTTGCTAGACCGGACAAAACATTCTGTAGAACATCCTCTATGACAAATTTGAAAAGGGATGGGGATATAGGGAAATCTTGTCAAACTCCACTGAAGACGGTGAAGGGTGGTGAAAGCTGGCCATAGGCCCTACCCGACCTGAGGTATGACAATACAACTCTTTGAGAATCGATACACTCCATTCCTCAGTAAATAGTTCCATAGTGCGGTCTTATCGATAAATTCGAAGACCAAGCGGATGTCTGCGAACACAATGATTGCTAATCTTTCATAGGCATGTTTGTACTCTCGCAACTCTGGGGAGTGGTGATGAAAATTTGATCAATATATCCACGATTAGCGCGAGCCTCAGTCTGATCTTCGCAGGTTTCCTTTTCGTGTATATGGTACAATCGGCGGAGAATGACGGACACCAACAGCTTTGACGCTATTGGAATCAAGCTTATACCTCTTTGACTGGCGCAGTCACTTCACGGGCTCCTTTTGGAGATAGGGATAACAATCGATTATCCCCACGAAGAGGGGAGCTGAACAGTATGTCAAAATTTAAAGAACAGAGCTGCTAATTTTCTAACAAGGTTTAGTGCACCATCTTTAAATAGAACAGGGGAAGGTAATCGAAGCTCGGTGTTATGTGACGTCTCGAGGCTAGGATCTTATGGCGCATTCTTGCCTCAGAAGGTGGGTCTATTGATAGAGATCCTGAGACTTATGCCGGAACAGCTCCGTGAGAAGCTGAAGCCAATGGTCAGGTAAACTGTGCCACAAAGTGCTCCACCCAGTGTGCAAGACGTCGCTGTTGATTATGAATGGGCGAACAGTCAGTTTCGTAGAGCATTTCAATCATACGCAAGGCTTTCCCTCCGGTTACTCAAATGAGATGGAACGGTTTACGGGAATTTCCCATGGCGACGGCATGTTCCATCTTTGTACACTCTGGAGGATTATTTCACTTTAGTCCCGTATCTGAGATGATCCCATACCTAAAATCAAAGATTAAAATCCGAACTGTAAGCCACCTTTCGTGTCAGGTAGCCTGAGTGCCTCCCCATTCAATGTCACACCTGTCACTGGAGCCTTGCAGGGTTTGCCAATACAAGCCCCGGGATGAAATATGTCGCTGGTCATGACTATATGCTTCATTCACTTCACGATAAACTAAAACTGCGGTGTGACCATGACTAAAAAGCATTTGCAGATAAAGATGAAATTGTGCAATACACCTAGTCCATGCTCAGTTAGATGATTAACATGGATTTTAGAAAACCTGAGAATACTCAAGACAAACAGCGGGAATTTATCCAAATGCACTATGATGTAGCAAAATTCGCCTACATCAAACTGTCTTAAGTTTTAGATACCGAAGGACAGCAAACAAATTTTTCGAATTCGAGATTTGCATATGCTCGGTTAATTTATACTATATTTCTCGGTATAGCACCCGGTGGTAACGTCACCAATTATCACCCCGGAGGACGAGTGTTCGATTCCCACCACCACAGCCTGACTTTCCCCATTTGTGTGTTGTATGACAGCCCTTTGATTGGCCGCTTTCCCCTTCCTGAAATTTGTATCTTTGTATATTCAATAAAAAAGGAAGTAAAACTGAAAAGGAAATGAAAGAAAAAAGAAAAGATGTGAATACTCTCCGCGGATCAGTACAGCAATGATGAAGTTGTGAGCGGAGTTTCAGATTCGGAAGCACGATCGTGGCCTAATCTGACCAGTTGAACGAACTAAATGCGATTAGAAACTTCTTGGAAACAGATTAGTTGGAATCTTGGCAATAGCCTGTCTAGAAAACGGAATAACACACATTACCACACACCGTATCCACATGCGTCCTGCTTGATCAATCAAACACCTTAAATTATTGTCAGTAATCATCAAGCTCACAAAGACTCAAACTCAGATGAGCAATATGGTGAGTGCCA